TGGTAAAGACAAGAGAATAAAAATAAATTATGAAAGAAATCTAATAGAGATTTTATAGCGTAAAAATAAAAAATAACAATATGTGGTGTATGTAAGAAACAGGACAGTGAGACAGAAACAGAGACAGAGAGGAAAAAGGTCGAATCTTTGGCCAAACTTAACTGATGAATAAGACAAAAAACAAGTTAGCCAGAGCTGAACCCAAGCAAATTGTCTGGCTACAAAAACCCAGAAGACATTTTGAACACGTAATATAAAAAGTAACAGTGATTTACACACACACACACACACACACACACACACACACACACACACACACACACACACACACCAGATGTTTCAAACCTACAATGAAAAAAGCCAATGGAGGATAACAAAGAGTCTCCAGACAACACAAGTATCGTTTCGTATAACAACACTGACAACACTGTTTACACCTTATACCAGGGTAATAATGCGTGTGTGTTACTGATTTAGACCAAGTGGATAAGCCCTTGCCTCGCTAAGTCCAAAGTATTTTTTTTTTGGTAAGTTTCTAAATTACGAGTAATCATGCAGATATCCCAAAAAAGGTATATATATATATATATATATATATATATATATATATATATATATATATATATATATATATATATATATATATATATATATATATATAAATATATCACCTGGACTCCAAAATATAGAAAAAAAACAAATATGAATAATTAATAAAACCTGGATAAATAACTGAAAAGATATGAATCTCGAAATAGTCTGTCATTTTAGTATCCCAATTTCAGCCATCTCCTCATAGCTCACGTGAGACAACACCCAGACAAGTAAAGAAACACCTAAGGCCCTTGACACACACACAACTGTTGTACTGAACCTCCGTAACCCTCTCTCCTCCCTACCCCCGGAAAGAAGGAGGAAGAAAAAAGAAAAATGGAGGAGGGAAGAAAGTGGGGAGGGGAGGAAAGTGAGAGAAGCGTTGTACAATATGCTGGCTGGTATAATACATAATACGTAAAGTCTCAGTGAAGTGCTATTAGAAAAATGCCACACACCAATAAAGTATACAGCACTTATAACCTTCACTCACAAGACGACCAAAGGTTGTTGTGTCTAAACTCTCGTGAATACAGGGTAGAAAAAAGGTTGAGTGTGTCACCTTAACTATCGTGAGTCAGTGTGTGGTGAGTCACAGGTACAGTATGTGGTGAGTCACAGGTACAGTATGTGGTGAGTCACAGGTACAGTATGTGGTGAGTCACAGGTACGGTATGTGGTGAGTCACAGGCAGTATGTGGTGAGTCACAGGTACAGTATGTGGTGAGTCACAGGTACAGTATGTGGTGAGTCACAGGTACAGTATGTGGTGAGTCACAGGTACAGTATGTGGTGAGTCACAGGTACGGTATGTGGTGAGTCACAGGTACAGATGTGGTGAGTCACAGGTACAGTATGTGGTGAGTCACAGGTACAGTATGTGGTGAGTCACAGTACAGTATGGGTGAGTCACAGGTACAGTATGTGGTGAGTCACAGGTACAGTATGGTGAGTCACAGGTACAGTATGTGGTGAGTCACAGGTACAGTATGTGGTGAGTCACAGGTACAGTATGTGGTGAGTCACAGGTACAGTATGTGGTGAGTCACAGGTACAGTATGGTGAGTCACAGGTACAGTATGTGGTGAGTCACAGGTACAGTATGTGGTGAGTCACAGGTACAGTATGTGGTGAGTCACAGGTACAGTATGTGGTGATCACAGGTACAGTATGTGGTGAGTCACAGGTACAGTATGTGGTGAGTCACAGGTACTAATAAGACGTCACCTGGACAGCAGACACCGCCCCTCCTACACTGTGTCTGGCGTCAACTTTTTTTCTCTGACAAAAATTCAATCATAATCTGCATCGAATATCTCACAGAACAAAATAATATACATTTTATGCATTTACATATTTACCCTCGGAATATAAGTGTCCAAGAGCCATCAGAAGAACACCGAAAAAAAAAAAATATTTACACTATTATCCGCCGAACAAACTTGTCTTTTCCCCACACACCACAGAAACATTCATTCTATACGCTCTTAATTTCTTTGGTCAGTTCCCCACCGATGTTAAAGCCCCAGGTAGCTACGGTATTTACCCCCATAAAGAACCTTATTTAAATAGCATTATGCATCCCTGTCTTTACTCTCACTCTGGCGTGCGAACACGAGGACGCCATCTAACTAAAGCTACACTCAACGCCCAGCAACACACTGACTTAGGTGCTCAAGACAAGACCATATTCTATACCTCAACACGAAGGAATACCTGAGGCCATTTCTAAGTCAAGATGTGGTGAGGTATGTGACTGATACAGGAGGAGAGGGGATAAAACACAGGGGAGGCAGGTGGGGAGGGCAGGAGGGAGGAGCAGGTGGGGAGGCAGGGTGGAGGGCAGGGGAGGAGGGCAGGGTGTGGAGGGGTAGGCGAGGGCAGGGCGTGGAGGGCAGGGTGGAGGGGTAGGGCGAGGAGGGCAGGTGTGGGGGAGGGCGAGAGGGCAGGGCGAGGAGGGCAGGGTGTGAGGCTGGGGCGTGGAGGGGTAGGGAGGAGGGCAGGGGTGGAAGAAAAGTGAGAAGAGGCAAGGAAAGGTAGAGAGAGAATGGAAGGTAGGGAGAGGATGGTGAGTGCTCCATATGGTTCAGGTCAGTGTCACGTGACGAGTGTAAGTGCGAACACAAATAACAACCTGTCTAAGTGGCACTGACAGCCGCACCCTCACCTACCTCCCCGTCTACCACCATTCCCTCGAACCCTCCCAGCCACCGTCGTCATAGTTCCTCTCCATCCTCTTGTCAGCACCCAAGGAAAAAGCCTGGCTGCCTCATCGCCTTCCCCAGAGTGTTGACAACATCTACACCTTCACCGCAAGTTTCCTCAACCCAATAACACGCTCCTCCACCGAGTCAGTATTTAACTGAATTTATTTGTTGAGTTTTCGACCAAACCTAGGCACTGTAGTTTAAACTGGGATTAGTTTGGGCCTTTTTTCACGTAAAAATTTAAGTATAAGATGAGAGTTTTGCAAATCCGCAAATGTACACCTTGAGGACAGCACAGCCGTGACGGGTGCTCAGGTATGGAGACAAGCGCCAAAACATGAGGTGGAGACATGTTGATCACCTTACATTTTAAGGTTTCTTCTGGTGAAGCTTATCCCTGTGTCTTACTGGCTCACTTCGAAAGTTTGATATTTATCTGGTAGTTTAAGAGAGAGTGAGGGTACGTGCAATACACTCGTCACCCACGATGTTATGGCGACACTGATACCAAATTTTGTCAAGGTCCGTCTCATTGACAAATCATTATAAAATTTCTACAATCGAAAAGTGATATTTTTTATTTGCCTTAAGTTAACCTGACCTAATTTAACCCAGCATTACAAGTGACGGTCTGGGGATACTGTATGAGTTCACATCGTTCACCTGTCGTATAAAAGGTGTGCCAGGTGTCTCCTTAGTTTACTTAGAGATCTCCGAACAACAGCCAGATAAGATAAGAGAGCTGATGAATGACAGACGGCCCTTGTACTAGTGAAGAACACACAATGATCTTCAACATGTAATCAGTCAAGAGGTTTCGGTGTAAAGATTTTATTACCGTACGCGATGTTCTCCCACGAGCGACACCGCCTCTTTATTTACATACAAGACATATCCATAATTCACTACTCCTCAACCAACGTCACCACGGCTGTCTCTTCTATCAAATATACCCGGTACTACCACCTTCCAGTAAGTATAGTTAATGTCATCGCTCCAATAAGTATCTTTAAGGAAGAGTCCGATGAATATCAGAATAAACACCGCGACTCCTATTGTCTCAGTATGGTTATCAAAATCCTTCATCTGCTGTGTCGTCTTATCTCACGTCAAAATAGTAAATATACTTTTTTTTGGTGCAAGTGACTTCTTATTACACAAGTCCAATTTTGTCTTTGTCAATGAGGATAGCTGCTACCAAGTCCACTACCGCAGCTATTACCCACCCTCTAACCCACGCCTCCCCCTGTGCCTGCGCCTCGGCCCCATCCCTACATTGCCCCCCCAGTGCCTCCCCTGTACCTGCCTCCAGTCCTCCCTACATTACCCCCCAGTGTCCACACCTCCCCTGTCACCGCCTCCACGATCCATCCCCATGCCCCCAGTACCCTTTCCCCTGCCTCCCGTCCCATCCCCCTACATGCCCCAGTGCCCCTTACTCCCCTGTACCTGCGCCTCCCGGCCCCATCCCCTACATTGTGTCCCACACCTCCCCATGCCTGCCTCCCAATCCCATCCCCTACATGCCCCAGTGCCCACGCCTCTCCCTGTACCTGCACCTCCTGATCCCATCCCCTACACCCCCAAGTGTCACACCTCCCTATGCCTGCGCCTCCCAGGCCCCATCCCCTACGTGCCCCACACACCTCCCCTGTACCTGCGCCTCCACAGTCCCATCCCCTACGTGCCCCCAGTTGCCCGCCTGTACCTGCGCCTCCACAGTCCATCCCCTACATTGCCCCAGTGCCTCCCTATTACCTGCGCCTCCACGATCCCATCCCTACATGCCCCCAGTGCCCACTCCCCCTGTACCTGCCTCCACGTCCCGCCCTACATTGCCCCCAGTGCCCACCTCCCCTGTACCTGCGCCTCCCACAGCCCCATCCCCTACATGCCCCAGTGCCCCACCTCCCCTGTACCTGCCTCCGGCCCCATCCCCTACATGCCCCAGTACCCACACTTTCCCCTAGCCACCTGCGCCTCCCGACCCCATCCCCATTGCCCCCAGTGCCCTTACTCCCCCCTGTGCCTGCGCCTCCCGTCCCATCCCCTACATTGCCCCCAGTGCCCATACCTCCTGTGCCACGCCTCCTGACCCCATCATGCCCCAGTGCCCCACCTCCTGTACACCGCCTCCTGACCACACATCTCGCCCCCAGTGCCCGCCTCCCCCTGTGCCTGCCTCCGACCCATCCCTACATGCCCCCAGTGTCCGCCTCCCCTGTACCTGCGCCTCCGGCCCCATCCCTGCCCCAGTGCCCCACGCCTCCTGCCTGCGCCTCCAGCCCCATCCCTTTGAGTGCCTCCCCTGTACCTGCGCCTCCCGGCCCCATCCCCTACATGCCCCCAATTCCACTTTCCCCCTGCCTGCGCCTCCCGGCCCCATCCCCTACGTGCCCCCAGTGCCCACGCCTCCCCCTGCTTCCTGCCTCCCACGATCCCATCCCCTACATTGTAGTGCCCACCTCCCCCTGTGCCTCTGACCCCATCCCCTACATGCCCCCAGTGCCCACACACTTACTCTACCTCCAGCCCCATCGCGTGCCCCCAGTGCCTCCCCTGTGCCTGCGCCTCCACAGTCCCTCCCTACGTGCCCCAGTGCACTCCCCTGCACCACGCCTCCGACCCCCCCATCCCCATTGCCCCCAGTACTTGCCTCCCTATACCTGCGCCTCCCATTTATCCCATTTTAAGTGTTCACCTCCCCTGTGCCTCCCGGCCCATCCCCTACATTGCCCCATTGCCCACGCCTCCCCTGTGCCTGCGCCTCCAGCCCCATCCCCTACATGCCCCCAGTGCCCCACGCCTCCCCCCCTGTACCTGCGCCTCCCGACCCCATCCCCCGTGCCCCCCCAGGTACTTGCCCTCCCTGCGCCTCCACGACCCCATCGTGCCCAGTGCCCTCCCTCTGTACCTGCGCCTCCACGATCCCCTCCCCTACATGCCCCCCAGTGCCCCACGCCTCCCCTGTACCTGCGCCTCCCGACCCCACATCCCCTACATTGCCCCAGTGCCCACGCCTCCCCCTGCCACCTGCCTCCCGGCCTCCCTACATTTTGGTGCCACTCCTGCGCCTCCACGATCCCATCCCTACATGCCCCCAAGTGCCCACCTCCCCCTGTACCTGCGCCTCCCGGCCATCCCTACATTGCCCCCAGTGCCCCGCCTCCCCTGTACCTACGCCTCCCAGTCCCATCCCTACATGCCCCAGTGCCCACACTTCCCCCATACCTGCGCCTCCCACAGCCCCATCCCCCATTTTGCCTCCTATACCTGCCTCCCGGCCCATCCCCTACATGCCCCCAGTGTGCCTGCCTCCACGATCCCATCCCCTTTAGTGTCCACGCCTCCCCTGTTACCTGCCTCCTGGCCCCATCCCCCAGTGCCACCTCCCCTGTGCCTGCGCCTCCACGATCCCATCCCCTACATTGCCCCCCAGTGCCCGCCTCCCCTGTACCTGCGCCTCCTGACCCCCATCCCTACATTGCCCCAGTGTCACGCCTCCCCTGTACCTGCCTCCCACGACCCCATCCCCTACATGCCCCCAGTGCCCACCTCCCCTGTACCTGCCTCCCATGCCCCCAGTACACCTCCCCACACCTGCACCTCCACGACCCCATCCCCCTACATGCCCCCAGTGCCCACACCCCCACCTGCACCTCCCACAGTCCCACATCCCCTACATGCCCCCAGTGTCCACCTCCCCTGCACCTCCCGTCCCTCCCCTACATTACCCCCAGTGTCCACACTCCCCCTGCCTCCCATCCCATTGCCCACAGTACTTGCCTCCCCTGTACCTGCACGCCTCCCGGCCATCCCTACGTGCCCCCAGTGCCCACCTCCCCCTACCTGCCTCCACGACCCATCCCCTCGTGCCCCCAGTGCCCCGCCTCCTCTGTACCGCCTCCACGATCCGTGCCCCCCAGTGCCCCGCCTCCCCTGTACCTGCACCTCCCGACTATCCCTACATGCCCCCAGTGCCTCCCCTGTACCTGCACGCCTCCCACGACCCCATCCCTACATGCCCCCCAGGTGCCCACACCTCCCCTGTACCTGCGCCTCCACAATCCCATCCCTACATGCCCCCCAGTGCCCCACACTCCCCATACCTGCACTCAGCCCATCCCCTACATTTTTGAGTGCCTCCCCTGTACCTGCGCCTCCACGATCCCATCCCCTACGTGCCCCCAGTGCCCTCCCCTGTGCCTGCGCCTCCCGGCCCCATCCCCTGCCCCCAGTGCCTGTCCCTGCCTCCCAGCCCCATCCCTACGTGCCCCAGTGTCACCTCCCCTGTACCTGCACCTCCACGATCCCATCCCCTACATTGCCCCAGTACCTCCCCTGTACCTGCCTCCCAGCCCCTCCCCTACATGCCCCCAGTGCCCCTCCCCTGTACCTGCACCTCCACAATCCCCTCCCCCTACATTTTGTGCCCACACCTCCCCCTGTACCTGCACCTCCGGCCCCTTCCCCCATGCCCCCGTGTCCACCTCCCCTGTACCTGCCTCCCAGCCCCATCCCCTACATGCCCCCAGTGCCCCACTTACTCCCCTGCACGCCTCCCAGTCCCATCCCCTACATGCCCCCAGTGCCCCGCCTCCCCTGTGCCTCCCAGCCCCACTCCCCCAGTGCCCACGCCTCCCCTGCCTGCGCCTCCCACAGTCCCATCCCTTTGGTGTGCCACTCCCCTGTGCCTGCGCCTCCCAGTCCATCATGCCCCCCAGTGTCCACACCTCCCCAACCTGCGCCTCCACGACCCCATCCCCTACGTGCCCCCAGTGCCCGCCTCCCCCTGTACCTGCACCTCCCGGCCCCATCCCTACATGCCCCCCCAGTGTCACCTCCTGTACCTGCGCCTCCATTGCCCCAGTGCCCACACTTTCCCTGTGCCTCCACAATCCCTGTCCCCCAGTGCCCACCTCCCCCTGTCTGCACCTCCCACAGTCCCACTCCCTACATGCCTCAGTACCCCTTACTCCCCTGTGCCTGCCTCACGACCCCATCCCCTACATGCCCCAGTGTCCACTTACTCCCTGTACCTGCCTCATTGTCCCTACATGCCCCCAGTGCCCACGCCTCCCCTGTGCCTCCCACATTCCATCCCCTACGTGCCCCCAGTGCCCACGCCTCCCCCTGTGCCTGCGCCTCCCAGTCCCATCTACATTGCCCCCAGTGCCCCGCCTCCCTGCCTGCACTCACGGCCCATCCCCCAGTGCCCACGCCTCCTGTACCTGCACTCCAGTCCCATCTACATTGCCCCCAGTGCCCACGCCTCCCCCTGTACCTGCACCTCCAGCCCCATCCCCCTACATTTTGATGCCCACTCCCCCTGTACCTGCCTCCGGCCCATCCCCTGACCCCCAGTGCCTCCCTGCCTCCCACGATCATCCCTACATGCCCCCAGTGCCCTCCCTGTACCTGCGCCTCCCGGCCCATCTACATTGCCCCCAGTGCCCCACTCCCCTGTACCTGCGCCTCCCTGATCCCATCCCCATTGCCCCCCAGTGCCTCCCCTGTACCTGCGCCTCCCGGCCCCATCTGTGCCCCCAGTGCCCCGCCTCCCCTGTGCCTGCCTCCGACCCCATCTAAACCTTTAGTGCTGCCTCCTGTACTGCGCCTCCACCCAGGCATTTACATCTACATTGCCCCAGTGTGCACCTCCCCTTCTGCCTCCAGCCCACATCCCCTGTGCCCCCCCCAGTGTCACTTTCCTGCCTCCACGACCCATCCCTACGTGCCCCCCAGTGCCCGCCTCCCCTGTACCTGCACTCCCACAGCCCCCCAGTGCCCACTTTCCCCTGTACCTGCCTCCACAGTCCCATCCCCTACATTGGTGCCCACCTCCCCCTGTGCCTGCACCTCCGGCCCCATCCCCTACATGCCCCAGCCTCCCCTGTGCCTGCGCCTCCCGACCCCATCCCCATGCCCCAGTGCCCCGCCTCCCCTGCCTGCGCCTCCCTCCCTGTGCCCCCAGTGCCCCACCTCCCCTGTGCCTGCACGACCCCATCCCCTACATGCCCCCAGTGCCCACGCGCCTCCCCCTGTGCCTGCACCTCCCTGACCCCATCCTATTTTGTGCACCTCCCCTGTACCTCCGACCCCATCCCCTACATGCCCCAGTGCCACTCCCTGCACTCTGATCCCATCCCCCAGTGCCCCACCTCCTTATGCCTGCGCCTCCAGCCCCATCCCCATGCCCAAGTGCCCCACGCCTCCTGCCTCCAGTCCCATCCCTACATGCCCCCAGTGCCCACACCTCCCCTGTACCTGCCTCCCCCAGTCCCTTCCCCCTGTGCCCCCAGTGTCCACGCCTCCCCCCTGTACCTGCGCCTC